TTTCGAAGTTTTTTAACATTTTTTGGTCAGGCTTATTAACACGCTTTTTGAAACAACAGTTTATGGGAAAAACTTTGTGACTACCATGCAAGAATATATATATATATATATATATATATATATATATATATATATATATATATATATATATATATATATATATATATATATATATATATATATATATATATATATATATTCCTTTAGAATCCAAGTTACTGGGATTCTACTCACTATACATTTAAAAATAGGTAAAAATTGTGAAACTTAAAAAATTAGTAGGTATAATAGTTATGGTTTATATATTTATAAATCATTTGTATTATACATTTGTATTATATATTTTATATATATGTATATATATATATATATGTATATATATGTATATATATATATATATATATATATATATATATATATATATATATATATATATATATATATATATATATATATATATATATATATACATCATGCAATATATTTTTTATTTTTATTTTCTAAAACATAAATTTTTCCATAATTTTTAATTACTTATATTGTTTGCAATAAAATAGTTTTGCATCAAAATAAAATGACATAATAAAAAAAGCTGTATTTATTTAAAGGTTTGATTTTTTTCACTTTTATAACAGCAGCACATACTCTGTGCATCCTTATAATCAATTTTTGTGCAATAATACAGTTGATATTTGATTCCAGTGTGTTTAAAGGAATACCCAAAGGTAATTTTGATTGGTTGGTTACATTTTTGTTATACCTCTATCTAAATTATCCTACAACAACTCCTTAGTTGCCTGATTTAAACCTAATTTATCAGTTAAATCAGGCAACTAAGGAGGCCATCATATACATTTTAATCCTTTCTTTTTTCTTTGGCTGTGTGTATATTTTTTGCAGAAGTGTGTTTAAACTGTTATTTTAATGAAAAATAAATCCGCAATTCACAATTTTTTTTCCACATGAAAAATGCATGTTTTTGGAAGTTGTTACAGTATTTTTTTTAACCCATAATGCCTTTAGTTTGCACAAAGTCACCGACCTTATTTCTAGCAAAGCATTCCAGACCATGGCTGACTCTCCACCATGCTTGACTGTTAGAATCACATATTGTTTTATTATGCATTTAACAATTAATCAACAAAAATATTGTGATTTCCTTCAAAAATTTTAAATTTATCTTGAAAACTTTGATTCATCTATGAACAAAACATGAGACCAATTGTTGAATTATCTTTATGTATTTTTGCCCATCTCAATCTTTTAACTTTATTTAATTTTTGCAGTTTTTTGGCAGTAACACAACCTTTCAAGCCATAATTACAGATAAGAAACAGATAAAGGTGTTTCCTGCACAGAGTTAAGTTCTTGACAAATTTTAGGAGCAGTTTGAGTATAATACATTTTATATTAATAATTAATTAATGAATGGTAATAATAATAAATGTTCCGATAGTTATAAGTGGAAGGAGTTTCATTTGTTGAAGAAAACTCTACACAGAGTTAAAAATAATTTTACTCTCTAACTACCCAGAGTTAAAAAATAAAGCAACTGAATCCTAACTTTTGAAAAAAAATAGTTTTTTAAAGGTATGTTAACCTGGTACTCAAAAGAAGCGAAATTATAAAACTTCAAAATTAATAATCAATTTACATAAAAATATTTTTTTTAGGTATAATTGCCTAAAAACTATTGTTTTTTATGGTGATAATTAAAAAAGTTAATATTTTCAAGTTTTTTTAAAATAAAATATTAAAACATGTTTTTTATGAAAATTGATTATTATTTTTCAAGTTTTTATATAATATCGCTTCTTTTGAGTACCAGGTGTATGTATATATATATGTATACATATATGTATGTATATATATATGTATACATATATATATATATATATATATATATATATATATATATATATATATATATATATATATATATATATATATATATATATATATATATATATATATTGTATTGTTTTATACATTTATCATATTAAGTCATATCATTTATATTATATCTACCTTTTTTATTATATTTATATCATTATATACATCGTTTATGTGAAAGTTACTTATGTTTGTGTGATTGTGAATAGATTTTAAAGTTTCAATAATATATTTTTAAATTTGTTTTATATGGAGAGAGATGCTCATTTTGAAAGCGTTTTAACCTTTGTGTAACAAATCTCACAACCTAATAGTATTGCGCTTAACTTGTTGCTTCATGTAATTGATAAGTTTGACAAAGTTTGTATTCCAAATTATTAGGATTGAGTTTGTTTGTAACTGCATAAAAATCATGCAATCTGATTAAAGTACACTCTGATCAAGCAATATACTTGATCAAATTAGCCTGACATGGAAATATTTATAAAAAATAATAATAAAGACAGTGAAGAAAAGATATGAAAGCACAAGCAATATAAACTGCAAATTAAAAACATAAGTTTTTGATTAATGATTTAATATTATGAAATTTTTTAACTTTTTTAAGATTTCAATGAATGTAATAGCTTGACACCACCGTGTTCTTGGAATAATGGAGTATGTCTAAACACAAATGGTAGTTATTCTTGTTCATGTAATAATGGATGGATTTTGGGTGAAGATAATGCTAGCTGTGTTGGTGAGTTTTTTTTTTATGTTAAATATAAAATACTTTTTTTGTTTGAATAAAAAATATTTTTTTATTCATACAAAAATTTAAAGTTCTAGTTTTTAAAGAACCTAAAGAAAGAAGAATAAGAAGTTTATGTACTTTTGTAATATGTAAACATTGTTTTTTAATATGACATAAGTATTTAATCTAACATTAGTTTGTTAAATACAAATTGAAAGTAAAAGTGTAGCAAAAGTTTATAAATTCAATAGAAACTAACAAATTTTTTTGCATATGTGACACAATGATCGCAAAAAGTGACTAACGGAGCCGTCCAGTTATGTAGACCTGGGAGATGTGAAAATAAAAACAGATTGAAGATGATGTCATTTAGGTAAAAAATCATAAATTAATGTAAAGACTATTTAGTAGGAGGAATAAAAGTTAGCAATTCAGGAAAAGATGAATAAAAACTCACACTTAAGTCATCTTTTAGCAAATGATAAAACAATGATCTATGAGTAAACAAATCAATAACAATCCGCTGGTTTATAATGGTATTCAGAACTAAAATAATCGCACCATACAAATGTCTAATAAATGTGGTACTGTATATGTTCTAAACTCTAGATAAAAAAGCTCACAAAGTGCAAAAATACATGGGTGTAAGAGGTAAAAAAATGTTGGTGCCATAATAACCAGTTAGAATAAGTAGTGGATAAATGGTGATCTCCCTCCTTAGGAATGCACTGCGATTACTAATGACGTTTCGGAGAGCCCCAGACCTGCACTAACGCCACACGTCAGGGGCGTGTCCTTGCAACAGATCTCACCGCCTACACTCTACGTCATGCTAGTCAATATTGCAATATAATAGGACTACACTACAAAAGCCAAAAAACCCAATCCCTATCCCAGTTTTTGAAAATAGCTCCAACATTCTTAGAGATCTCGTGAGGGTGGTGAGGAATGCGCGTGGTGTGACCATAAACAGATATGTAAACACATATAAATATAAGGTACCCTTACATTATGGTGCATACTATAGAATGATGAAGCATATAATGTTAAAATCACAGAAGACATTGAAATATGACAATATTATTTAATCAGGAAAAATTAGGAGTTTATTTGGAAATAGGCCAAACTAGATAATGAATTTTGCAGTTTCAAATAGTGATGTCACAAATTTTAGGCGCCTTAATAAAAATGGCAATTGTTTGATTATCTTTCCCATTTAGGTTAAATCATCCTTTTAATTCAGGTTGTCGTGAAAATAATATTTTTAATAAGTTTAGAGGTTTTTATGCTAATTCAATCTATAGCATATTTTGAAATTGCCTCAAAAGTGCAAGATATAAATGAGCTAGTTATTTTTGAACTTTTCTGAATAATTTGAAAACTATGAAACTTTTATGCATAACTGTAGTTAAAATATTTGGTGTATCAGTCAACAAATGAATAATTTCTGCTTGAACTAAAATTATTTTCTAACTATATATTTTTTTTTTATTTTTTTTTTTTGACAATTTATTTTTGAAATTATAAAAAAAAAATATAGTTGATATTGTTTGCTTGCAATAACTGATATCTTATAGATTACTTTGATGGATGGGTAAACAACAAAAAGCTTTACGCATTTTTTTTAAATGGAAAGGAGAACAAAAAACAGTTTGAGATGATTTAAAACTTTTTTAAATATATTAGAATTTTTTTATATTTGTAGCTCATAAAAGACTGTTATAATATTCAAGTCAAGAATCAATGATGTCATAAGTAATTGTGTTGTAGCTTCTTTTAAGCAACCGGGTTGTAGCTTCTTTTATGCAATTTAAGCAATTGTGTTTGTAGCTTCTTTTATGAGACACAGACAGATGTGACAAAGCACAAATATTGTAGTTGCAGAATTTAACAGTGTTATTTATGTGCTGGTTCATAGAGAGTGTTAAATCTATGGTGACAATGAGGATTTATTGAGTAACTAGATAATTCAGTCTAGTTAGTATTGCTCCTAAGATTGTAGTTTTACAATCCTTTTTTTATTTGCCAGTTTTTTTCTTTGATTTGTATAAGAATGCTTCTGTTTTAAATTCCATTTTGTGACTGCATTAGCAAATTTAGTGATTTTGTTGATGTTATTTTTGTCTGGGGTGATGACATTATAAAGTTGAGTATCATTGGCATAATGATAATGATTTTTGCTTAGTTTAACTATAATATGGAAATAGTAGGCTACCCTGTTGTACTCCTGTTGGATTTGCTATCACTCTAAATTTTGTTAATCTAATAGAAACAAAAGATTTTAGAGTGCAAGTATGATGTCAACTATTTTAGTGCAATGTCTGTGACACCAAATTGATTTTTAATATAGGCAATCATGAGGTTGTGATCAACTGTACCAAATACTGCAGATATTTTTAGGGAGAGGAGAATAGTTGTCAAAGCATCATCAATGTTTAACAGAATTTTATTGTATATCTTTAGGAATGATGTTTTAGTTGAATGATTAGATCTTAAGCTTTATTGGTAAAAATTCAAATTTAATTTTTTAAAAATTTTTTAAAAATTTAATTTTTAAAAAAAAATTGTTTTCTAAAAAAATTTTGTTTCTAAAAACATTTTAAAAAATTGAAAGCAGATGAAAATGTGGTATGTGGAAGAAAAAGTGATAAAACAAAATTTTCAATTTTTTTAGAAATTTTATAAAGATTTGATATGATGCTCAGATAAGTGAGCTCAAATGTTTGTTCTGACTTTTTAAGGAATTATATGTACAATTTTATATAATAACTTTGTAATGTTTTGTAACAACAACTATATAACAACTTTGTAATGTCTTCAGGGATGGCAGATGTTTTTTTTTAACAGAATAACAAAAGAAACTTAAATACAAAAAAATGAGTAGATATTTGATTTAATCTAAACTGAATAAAGTAAAATAAATAACTTGCTGAATAAATAAAAAAATTTATAAAAATAAATAAAAAAAAAAGGAAAAAAAAAGAAAAAAGTAGATATAAAATACTACTCAATTTAAATACAACTTCCAACAAATATAATCAAAAATAAATAATAAATGTTTACTAGTTAACAAAAGAATTTTAAATTTCAAAAAGGTTTAAACAATTCAAAATAATCAATAAAAATCACAAAGAAAAAGAAGTAAAAAAAGAGAAGTAAAAATGATCTATTAAAAAAGATAAAGAAGAATTTCATTAAATATAATTTTTATTTAACTTGATTTTGTTGTATCTTATTTATTAATTATTTTTAGTTTATTACTATTATACATTATTAAATATATATATATATATATATATATATATATATATATATATATATATATATATATATATATATATATATATATATATATATATATATATATATATATATATATATATATATTAAAATATATATATATATTATAGTTAAATATATTACTTTTATCTTTAATTTAGTTATTAATATGTTACTTTTACTTTTATTTATTTTTGTTTTATGTTGTTTCTGTTTTCTTTTATAATATATTTATTATAATTGATATAATGCTAATACAATTTTCTTTTTAATTTATAGTTAGTTATATATTCTTATTCTTCGTTAGTGATATAATATTACTTATTTTTCCATTGTTTTATTATTATAACTATTATTTTATATTATTTTGTTCATTAATACTACTTAATTTACAGCAGATAGTAATAGTATTATTACTAATATAATTATTGCTATTACAATTACTATTTATAATATTGTATCGTTATTATTTTTCATTGTTATTTTCATTGTTATTTTCTTTCCCTCTCTTTTAAAACTTAACAACTACAAGCTTTCTTCTAAATTTGGCAAATTTTCTTTTTTTTATCTTTATCAGTTTTACTATGACCTCTAATTTTCTGGGAGTATGTACCTCATGTACAAAAAAAGTTAGTATAAGTTGCCATCCAACTCAATGTTATGTATGTTTGTTTTGGACTTATTCATAATGTAGCAGGCTTTATGATCATGGGCACAGTTTAACACATTCAAAATGCTCATCGCGGCTGTGTGTAAATTGTACTAAATTGTGTCTTTCCATCAACTGATGTATCTGATAATGAATTTAAAAAACTCTTCTCTTCAAAAAAAATTATTAAAACTGATGATTTATCTTTATCAACTAAACTCTTTCCAGCATCGGGTTTGAAGAAAATCTATACTCAATGTAATAAATTTATTACATCACATGCTTCAGTTTCTGATGAGGAAAACTGTTTCTGATGAGTAAAACTCTTTTGATGTAGATTGTCAATATTATGACATTAATAAATTTTTATCTCATAACTTTGACATCATAAACTCTATGTTCTTTTTCCATTTAAATATAACTTCTTTACAAAGCACTTTGAAGATCTTAACATATTATTATCATTAATTAGTTTTGATTTTAGCATTATTGGAATTGCAGAAATAAGATTAAAAAAAGAATCTCCTGCCACACATTCAATTATTATTCAAAATTATAATTTTGAGCACACACAAACCGAATCTTTTTGTGGTAGAACCTTGTTATATTCATCAAAAAAAACCTGATTTATAAAAGAAGAGATAATTTGATTGTATACTTACCAAACTAATTAAAATAATATTTTGTTGAAATATTTTTTCTTAAAATATCAAATGTTATTGTTGATTGAAGATACAGACACCCTAGCATGGATGTAATTGATTTCAATAATAAAAAGTCTGCTCTTCTCCAAAATATATCTACTGAAAATAAATCTGTCTTTCTAATTGGCCATTTTAAGATGGATCTGATACAGTCAATCTCTGACTTTGCAACTTCTGAGTTTTTAAACATACTTCTTATAATATTTGCCCATTTTTTTACGCTACTAACAAAAGTTACTGAACATTCTGCTACAATCATTGACTTTATCTTTTCAAATGTAACCACAAATAAAATTATTTCATGAAATCTAATAATTTCAATTTATAACCTACCTCAATTTCTTATTTGCCCTAATTTCAACTAATTATTTATACCACACAATCATAATATATACCGCAGGAACTTTGAAAATTATAATAAAGAATCATTTAAATCTGAATTATTAGAAGTTGATTAGAATGACATTACCAATAAAATTGATGTTAACTCTAAAGTTTTGTGATGTAAAGTTTTGAATTATTCATTTCTCAAACAACATTGTTGTTAGATTGTCATGTGCCACTCAAAAAATTCAGTATTTAGAGCTACAAACGTCAATTCAAGCCATTAATTACTAAAGAAATAATAAAATCAATTCAATTTTGAAATCTTATTCAAGGGAAAATGTTAAGGATAAAAGATCCAACAAATATAATTAAACTAAAAACTATCTTTAAATGCTATAAATATACCATAATTAATCTAATAAAACTGAGTAAAAAATATATTTCAAAAAATTCTTTTCAGAAAATGTAAAAAATCTTTGTGAAACCTGAAAAGGCATAAAAAACATAATAAATGTTAAAAATATCAATACTGTATCTCCAAATTGTTTACAAGTTAATGAAACATACATAACTGAGCAAACAAGAATCTGTGAAGAGTTCAACAACTTTTTCACAAATGTAGCTCATAATTTTAATTCTAAAATTCACTCATCTTATATTAGCTATAAAAATCTTAAACAACCAAATCTGCATAGTTTACTGATATCTCCAACAAACCTTTCTGAAATCTCATCACTTATATCTAAATTAAAACTTAGAAGTTCAATATGTCCTAACAGCATCCCCACAAACACTCTTATTGATTTTAATTCTGAATCTTCTCATATTCTCTCCAAGCTATTTAATATTTCCTTCTTAATTGGAATTTTGAAATTATCATGTGTCAATCCAGTATATAAAAATGACTCAAAATTCTCATGTACTAACTATAGACCAATTTCTACCATTAGCAAGCTTCATGAAAAACCTTTGGACTTTAATTTGTCTGTATAAAAAAACTATATTTGACACAATTACTTTTTATAGCATTATGCGACTTTTCCGCTCTCTTACAATTTCAAATTCAAAAAAAGTTGTTTTTGATACACCCTATTCTGCGGTATCATTTACAACTTTTATCCTATAAACAAACTTTTTAGCTTCTTGGTATTCTGGTTGCCCTTTCTACTGTTCAATTGGTTTAGCAAGCCAATCTCTTTGAAGCCAAAAATACTGAACAATGTGTAAGATTTAGGTCCCTAAAGACTTGGAAAACCTGTTTGATAAGTGATTTTTTGAAAAACTGACTTACCAAGGCAAAAATTTTCAGGTACTGAATTTTCCAAAAGTTTGGCTGCTATATCTATTTTAACCCTGAATTAATTTTCCATATCAGTTAAGGGCACCAAACTGATATGGTTTGAGCCTCACATTTTCTATAAATCCTCTGTTGATTTAACTTTCTACTTTGATGAGATGTCAATGTGGAGATATCAAAATTGTTCAAGTTTCCTACAGCAGCTTTAATTACAGCAGACAATCATAGTAGTTTTATTATCAGACAAATCCATCTTATCTGCTGCAGAAGTGATTCTATCACATTGCATAATTCTTTTGGGTAGGTGAAGAGTAACAAATTCTGATTGTTTTTCTGTAGGAGGTTGATAATTTAAGTCACAGTCCCACCCTTAACCAACATCTACTTCAGCAACATCAATATTTTCCTTAATATTCTGTTCTTTGTCATTAACTTCCATGTCCTCATTATCATGATGATACCGTCTACATTCTTTTTCTTCTCTTTCATTTTCTTTATAGATGAGTATGATTGTCTGATTATCTCTGACTTTTAGTATTCTTGCTTTAATCTGAAAAATTTATTCATGTCCGTCCATGTTTGCATTTCTGTCTGTTTTTTTATTTAAATAGAACATCATCATTTTCAAGTCAGAGGCCTGAATTTCATGATTTCCTTTACGGCATTAGGTAATCCAATATTAAAAAGATTATCCAACTTGGCCAAGTAGTTGACACGTTTTTCACCAGCATCACTTTTATGATTCTTGTTCTTCAACAAGCAGTTCCACTCATTCCAAAGACACAAAATTTCTAACATTGAATTTTGTCTTGATTTTGTCTTTGTTATGATGCATGTCATGTTCCACCAAGTTACATCTCATATATATATATATATATATATATATATATATATATATATATATATATATATATATATATATATATATATATATATATATATATATATATATATATATATATATATATATATATATATATATATATATATATATATATATATATATATATATATATATATTGTATTGTTTATACATTTATCATATTATGTCATATCATTTATATTATATTTATCTTTTTTATTATATTTATATCATTATATACATCGTTTTTGTGGTAGTTACTTATGCTTGCGTGATTGTAAATAGATTTCAATAATATATATAAATAGATTTCAATAATAATATAAAGTTTCAATAATATATTTTTAAATATGCTTTATATGGAGAGAGATGCTCATTTTGAAAGCGTTTTAACCTTTGTGTAACAAATCTCATAACCTAATAGTATTGCGCTTAACTTGTTGCTTCATGTAATTGATAAGTTTGTCAAAGTTTGTATTCCAAATTATTAGGATTGAGTTTGTTTGTAACTGCATAAAAATCATGCAATCTGATTAAAGTACACTCTGATCAAGCAATATACTTGATCAAATTAGTCTGGGCATGGAAATATTTATAAAAAATAATAATAAAGACAGTGAAGAAAAGATATGAAAGCACAAACAATATAAACTGCAAATTAAAAAGTTTTTGATTGATTTAATATTATGAAATACTTTTTTAAGATGTCAATGAATGTAATAGCTTGACACCACCGTGTTCTTGGAATAATGGAGTATGTCTTAACACAAATGGTAGTTATTCTTGTTCATGTAATAATGGATGGATTTTGGGTGAAGATAATGCTAGCTGTGTTGGTGAGTTTTTTATTATGTTAAATATAAAGTACATTTTTTGTTTGAATGAAAAATATGTTTAAATTTCAAAGTTCTAGTTTTTAAAGAACCTAATAAGAAGTTTATGCAAGTAATTTTAAAAAATGTTAACATTTTTTTTAATATGACATAAGTATTAAATCTAACATTAGTTTGTTAAAAACAAATAGAAAGTAAAAGTGTAGCAAAGGTTTACAAATTCAATAGAAACAAATTTTTATATTCTTATGGAATTCTTTAAAAAAAGGCTAATCTTAGTAAAAGACTCAATGTTATGGTGCATATAACTTATGAAGTATATAATGAACTTATGAAGTGTATAATGAACTTATGAAGTATATAATGAACTTATGAAGTATATAATGAACTTATGAAGCATATAATGAACTTATGAAGTATATAATGAACTTATGAAGCATATAATGAACTTATGAAGCATATAATGAAATTATGAAGCATATAATGAACTTATGAAGCATATAATGAACTTATGAAGTATATAATGAACTTTATGTTAAAATCACAGAAGACATTGAAATATGACAATATTGTTAAATTATGAAGAATTAGGAGTTTATTTGGAAATAGGCCAAACTAGGAAATGATTTTTGCAGTTTCAAATAGCGATGTCACAAATTTTAGGCGACTGAATAAAAAAGGCAATTGTTTAATTAGGTTAAACCATCCTTTTAGTTCAGGTTGTCGTTAAAATAATATTTTTAATAAGTTTAGAGGTTTTTATACTAATTCAATCTATAGCATATTTTGAAATTGCCTCAGAAGTGGGTAATTCCACATCAAATCACCCAAAACTTCTTTGGCTGTTGCATCTTTTAAAAAAAAGTTAAAACATAAAATTTCAGCTAAAAAATGTTAAGCGGTTGACAAAATACTGCAATTTTAACATTGACCTGGTTTCCCAAAATGACCCCGTTTTCATAACATTCTAAAAAAACATTTTTCTTAAAAAAAGAAAGAAATAAAAATGGCAAAAATATGAAAATAAATACATATGTTTTTTTGATGCCGAATTCAATAAATGTACTTAAAATGCTAAAATATAAAAGGAACATGCTTCAAAGTTAATAAAACAACTAGTTTTTATAATCGAACTTTGGGGCCCAATATCTCAAAGCACCCTATCAAAAAAATTTTTTTTTGCTGTTAATATTTTCAGCTGCTTATAATCTTACTAGGCATAAAATATCTAACTGAAAAAACAACTAAAATATATGGAACTTTAATTTTCAAGATATATCAAATTTTCAATAAATTAGTTTAAAAAACTTGCAAATAGAATTTTGTGAAATATCAAACTTAGTTTATAGACTCCTTAGAAAAAAACAAAACAAATTTGTTATATTTAAGGAAGTCTTAATTATATAATAAATTTGTCATTTGATCTTAACAACTGAAAAAAACATCCTGTTTTGCTTTTAAAATCTGACTCGGTGTGATTTTGAAGTACATTTGTTTTTAAAATTTTGACAACTATAGTTTGTAAAAAGTTTATAAAAAATTCAGTTATAACAACATTTATCGGTAAAATTTTATTTAAATTTTGAAAATTTGATATATATAGATTGTATATATATAAATATTTATAAAGAAAATTAACAATATCTATCAATGTAAAAAATTATACAACAGAAAGATTCTGAAAAGGTTTGAATTATTTCTATATTAATTTTTTTTTTTACTCAAAATTATGCAGAAAAGAAGAATTTTTTTCTTTTTTTTTAGGAAATACATTCATACTAAGTATTTTATTATAAGATGTGTTCTATTGGCTTATTGACATCAGAAGAATGCAATGGCCAACAAGATGTTATTGAAACTTTAAGCAAGTATATATATATATATAAAGTTTCAATAACAAGATGTTATTGAAACTTTATATATATATATATACTTTTTATATTTGTATTTTCTAAAACATAAACAATGTTTTAAACAATTGTGCAGATAAGCTTTATACAATTCAATTACTTTTAGAAAATCTCATAGTAGTTACAATAAATGAGTCACAAGTCATGATGAGAAGTAGTTTGAATAATGCTCCTGGGAAGAAACTTTGTAAGCAAAAGATTGCCCAAAAAGAAGATCTTAAAGAAGAGAAGCAAAGTCAGGGTGAACAAGATAAGGAATTTCTAATATCATCATTCAAATCAAAAAGACAGGAGATCAATGAAGAACTCAAAAATTTTAATATATCTCCTCTAAAATCTCATTCAAAGTCATCAAAACATATTCTCTCAGAAGGAAAGCGAAAAATTGGGCGCATCAACGAAATGGTAAATAACGTTACTAGAAAAACTGAAAGTCAAGTCAATATTCCCTCAAAACTGTGTTATGAAAGAAATAACATGAAAAAGAAGGCTGAAAACTTTGATGAAATTATGAGCTTGATAAAAGAAAAAAATTTATGTTCTGACAAAAGGACTATTGTTTAACTTCTAACACTGGCACCCCCAAGTTGGTCGATATTAGAAGTACAAAATAACTTTGCAGTTACAGAATACCAAGCAAAGATGGCTAGATAAATTTTTAATAAAAAAAGATTGTTAGCTATCTCTCCGTTGTATAAAGGTAAAGTCTTACACAAAGAAATAGAAGATTCTGTTAAATTGTTTTATGACTCAAGTGATTTATGTAGAACTATGCCTGGAAAAAAAGATTATGTTAGCCTGAAAAAAAGATTATGTCATTCAAAAGAACATCCATAAACAAAAAAAAACTGCTTTTGTGTAATTTAAAAGAACTATATGTATTATTTGAAATAAAAAATTTGCTTTACTTAGACCAAAGTGGTGCGTTTTGCCAGGTGCAAGTGGTACACATTCTATTTGTGTTTGTTGTTATCACCAAAATGCCATATTGCTAGTAGATGCCTTAAATATTGGACTAAAGTATAAGGATTTACTTTCAAAAACCGTTTACTCAATAAAAAACAAAGAATGCATGCTTGCACAGTGTGATAATTGTCCTGGTAAAGAAACCCTCACCAAATATATGTTTGAGATTTTTGGAGAATACGAAGATGATTTTGAGATGCACTATAAGCAATGGCAAACTACTGATTGTGCAACACTATTGAGTTTAACAGCAGGTGATATACTATAAAAATGATAAAGGTGTACTGAAACATATTTCTTACTGTTTTATATCAGACGACATTACACATGATGTAACTTATGTGTACAAAATATTTCAACTAATCATATCAATATTTAAAACAAAATTTTCCAATCTGTCAAAATTACATCTATTCACTGATGGTTGCGCAGGACAGTACAAAAATTGTAAACAATTTTACAATCTGTGCCAACTAGAGAGCGAATTTTCCCTTAAAGTTGAATAAAACTTTTTTGCCACGTCCCACGGAAAGTCACCATGCGATGGGATTGGCAGTATTGTAAAAAGGTTAACAGCGCAAGAAAGTTTAAAATGACTATACAGAAACCAAGTTCTCACATCAGAAGCTATGTATGAATTTTGTATTGAGAAAAGGTTGTTAACTTCATTTACATAAAGGGGATAGATTTACAATTGCAACGTGAGGTGCAAAAAGAAAGGTACACTGATGTAACAGCTCTACCTAGTACTCATAGCTTTCATCAATTTATACATCTTGGAGATAACAGGGTTAGGGCAAAGAGGTGTAGTACAGAAACTAATTATACAATAATTCACAACCTTAAAAAGAAACAAGATATATTTCAACTTGATACTGTCACTTTAGGAGGTTATGTAGCTGCAGTCTATGATGATAAGTGGTGGATCGGCATTGTAACTGAAACCAACCTAGAAGAAGTTGATGTTAAAGTTAAGTTTCTTCACCCAAAAGGTCCATCAATCTGTTTTAACTGGCCTGAAAGAAAGTACTATTGTTTTATTCCTAACACCAACATATTGAAAAAACTATCTGTTTCATAAGCTTGCTCTAGTTCCGATAGAAATTATTTGTTTGAAAATGCTGAAATAGAAAAAGTACAAGTAAAATGGGAACAGTGTTATTTTAAGCATGTTCCTTTTATATTTCAGCATTTTAAGTACATTTATTGAAATCAGCATCAAAAGAACATTATATATGTTTATTTTCATTTTTTTGACATTTTTATTTCTTATTTTTTCAAGAAAAATGTTTTTTTATAATGTTATGTAAACTGGGTCATTTTGGGAAACCAGGTCAATATTAAAATTGCATTATCTTGTTAACCGCTCAACATTTTTGGCTGAAATTTTGCATGCAATATTTTTTTATAATTAGGAAAAATGTGTCAAAATATAAAACAAAAAGAAGACACATGGTTCAATGGACTGAGTGATTTGATGTGGAATTGCTTATGTGCAAGATATACATGAGCTAGTTATTTTTGAACTTTTCTGAATGGTTTGAAAAGTATGAAACTTTTATGCATAACTGTAGTTAAAATATTTGGTGTATCAGTCAACAAAGCCCACAGAGTAGTTGACATATGCACTACAACAAAGTAGGTCAGCCTTAAATATAATTAAGTGTTGCCAAATATTTGGCCGCATTTTCATGGCATCTCTAGTTTGAAACATTTTTCATAGATTTTTGCACTTAAATAATTTCTGCTTGAACTAAAATTATTTTCTAATTATGTTTTTTTTTTTTTATCTTTTATTTTTTGACAATTTATTTTTGAAATTATAAAAAAAAATATGGTTGATAATGTTTGGTTGCAATAACTGATATCTTATAGATTACTTTGATGGATGGGTAAACAACAAAGAGATTTAGGCAATTTTTTTTAATGGAAAGGAGAACAAAAAACAGTTTGAAATGGTTTAAAGTTTTTTTAAATATGTTGGAATTTTTTTATATTTGTAGCTGATAAAAGACTGTTATAATAGTCAAGTCAAGAATCAATGATGCCATAAGTAATTGTGTTGTAGCTTCTTTTAAGCAGCTGGGTTGTAGCTTCTTTTATGCAATTTAAGCAATTGGGTTGTAG